AAGAGCTAGCGAAAAAGCAATGCCCTTTATGCGACGCCGATCCTATAAGCAACCCAGACTACTCTGTACATATGCTAAAACACCAAATCATCGAGACGGATGGAAGAACCACGCCCAGAGATCTATATGATCCACAATAGTAGCAAGTACTAACACCTTTTTACCACCACAAACGCCCGCCCCGGCTAACGGGAGTACAGCAAGCAAGTGTCAACTGCTAGAAGCAATAGAACTTTTGCCGATAACAACCTAACCAGCGATGGTAAACATACCAACGACCCCCCCGACCTTCGATCGAAACCAGTAAGACGAGGGAACCGAGGTCTGTCAGGACAAGATGATGAAATCCTGGCTCCAGAAGAAGACTACCACTCCACCGATGGAGGAGAAGCCCCCAGACCAGAAGCCACTGCCACCACCACAGCGCCGCAACCACTTCCCGGACGCACAGCGCCACAACCACTTCCCGAACGCAAGCGCAGAATCACGCAAGTGACCCCACCGACCATCGGAGAGCTAGCCGTCGTAATCTATGATCTAAAAGACGAAATCAGGAGATTGCGACAGGACGTAAGAACCGAGAGGAAGCTAAGGGAGCAGGAGAAGGCGGCCACCAAAGCCCTACTAAATGACATGGTGGAAGCATACACGGGCATGACCACACTGACAAAGGAGAACCACGTAAAGTTGACCAAGCAAGTAACAGATATGGTAAATGAACTAGCCAAGAAACTGCAAGAGCCGTCCACCCACTACTCGGCTGCGAGACAAGCTCCACGACCATTGACTACCAGTCAAACCAGGAAGGGCTCCACCTCACACAGCCTGGATACAACTTCTGAAGCCGCCACAACTCACAGAGGACGAAGCACCACCAAACAGACGGCACGACCTTTAAACTCCAGAACCCCGCTACCATGGAACAAGGTAGCGGGGACCACTGCGATGCCCACCAGAGTCGGGAGGAGAAAGGATCAGGTGATCATCAACAGCCAACCGGCACTGCCAGAACCGACCACTTCCACCGAGATAACCCTCGACAACAGCGACAAGAAAGCCTTATGGGAGCCGAAACCGCCCCAGACGGTCGAAGTAACGGCTGTAACCCTGGACCGAGTGAAACCCCGGCAAATGTATCCAGCGAAAGAATGGAGAGCCCTCCTGAAGAAACACGGTGTGCACCCGATTGCCATCTGGTTCCCGTGGAGGACCTCTGTGGAGATACTAGTAAAGACCGAAGAACTGCCGAAACTAAAGGCGCTGGCAGCAGCTATGAACCGAGACGCACAGACACTAGACCCGACCAGGAGAAAAGACGGCCAACCAGGACCCCTATCGCAAGCCGCAGTTACCACAGCGATCAACATCAGAATGGGAGACCTGATGTTCGAGAGACACTGGACCGCGAGACACTACTTAGAACAGATCATCAGGAAACTGATAGATCAGCTGCCAGACGACCTGAACAAGACCATGCTCTACCACAAATTGAACTCCACGACTGCACCACCAACCACGGACACGGACAACCCCTTCCTACCAAACTAATCGACTACCCCGTACTGAGAGACAGAGTGAGACCGAAGCACTACTGGGTGATGGCGATCAATATTGACGGCTACAATGACAAAAAAGAACTACAACTAAGGAGTACCATACTACGGACTAGACCCCATATAGTCATACTTTCCGAGACCTGTGCCAACTTGCACCGCACTATATACGATGGCCAATACACGCTAATAGGAACCTCCGGATCAGCGGACGGTGTCGCAGTCATGATCCGGCAGGACGTGCAATACACTATAACCTCGAAGACCACTAGGACTATCGTTCTCCGACTAGACAACCTAGTTACCTGCATAGGAACTTATGCGCCCACGGAGCAGACTGCGGAAAGAACGAAGGCACAATACTGGGAGAACCTTGCCAAGCACATTCCGACTAACCATCCATTGCTGATTGCGGGAGATCTTAACGCTGGCCACGAACCGACTGAATCCCGAGTCATAAAAGGCATTGCAAACTATACTCGACTCCAAAGATTAACACGCGAATTTAAGCTAAACATTCTACCCACCACACCCACATGGATCTCCAAGAGATCCAAGGACCAAAAACCAAGCCGAACCCTGGACCGTATACTGACAAACACGGCCTATACTAGCAACCATATAACTCTTGACTGGGAGAACGCACCAGCTGACCACGCAATCCTTACCTATAAATGGACCATAACCTCAATTGGATACGACCAAGGCCGACCGAGGAATTTGCCAAGCGGCCGCGACGCACAGGAACCCATCACTCAAGCATGGGAGAAGTTCAAGATGCAGCTAAAACTACAATTCCGGAAACAGGAAAAAACAAATGAGCCCAGGAAGCAGGACGCGAACCACAGACTATGGGAGCTCTACAGGAAGCAGACGGGCCAAGAAGGACTCACCCTGGTGAATGAGGATGGGGAAGACCTTGACCCTGGGCAGGCCAGACACCAACTACGGCAGATGCTACACAACCGGTGGAGCACTACCGACCGTCCACCCATACCACAGAAAAGAGAATCCAAGGTATACATGGACCAGCCTCCCGATACTACGGAACTCGCCGCTGCAATAAAAGCAGTCAACAAGAAAGCAGCTACTGGGCTGGACGGAATACCCGCCAGGCGGATCAACCACATCCCACTCGAAGACCTCTACCAATTTGTGGAACAAGTATGGGCTAGCAGTAAACTGCCGCGGCAACTAGTTGACATGAAAGTGAAACCAATACCTAAAGTATTACCACGGACCACCGTGGATAACACCAGACCAATCACTATACCATCGACCATAATGAAGATCATTAACCAAGTTATACTGCACCATATAACACCATACATAGAACCACACCTCCTACCACAACAGCATGCTTACCGGAAAGGGAGGGGCCCCGCGACGGCGGTAACTGAACTTTTCGCTAAGTTCAACAGACCCGGCCAGACCCTACTACTATTAGACCTATCGAAGGCGTTCGACACAGTTGACCATAAAGCCCTGTTCTCAACATTAAGAAACACTGAGGTACCCAGCAAGGAATACAACCTAATCCGAGACCAATATCTAGATGCGGAAGTGTTGGTGCAGTGGGCCAAACGATTCGCCGCACCTTTCACACTCACTAACGGAATCAGACAGGGATGTACTCTTAGCACTACCCTCTTCAACTTGGTGGAAGCCGAGCGAGAAAGGAAATGCAGGACCAAGATGAACGAAATACGATATGACGTCATCATGTATGCGGACGATAAGGCTGTCATACTGGACGACGACCACCATACCCAGAGAATGCTCGCAGTCAACCAGCAGACAGCGAAGGAGTACGGGATGTACCAGAACAATGCCAAGACAACCCAACTAAAATTAAACAGAGACACCAAGGAGATACAAACGGTTAAATGGATGGGTATCCTCCTGGACAACAAGCTGAACATGAGCCAGGAGATAGATCGCAGGATAGAGAAGGCCCGGAAAGCGGCAGCAGACTACAACAAGACCATCAAGAACATACCACCATCTATGCTACCTGTGGCGCTAAAAGTGCGCGGAGCCTGTGCGATTATACTACCGCACCTCTTCTATTTATGGAGGGAGATACCTTTCACCCCACCGCAAAGAGATACCCTAGCAGACGTCGCCACACAACTACTGGCTAAGATGTTCAACAATACCAGTGGTGTTACGGCCACCTCGATTCAGAGACATGTAAACAACATCACTAAAGGACTGACGCCAAGGATCAAGCAGCTGGCATCTCTAGACGTACTGATGCCAAAGGATACAGAGATGGATACGGGTGTGGAATTGCGGACTGAAGGAACTGACATCCTCTACGCAAGGCCAGACCATGACATCAAGATACTCAAAGACAAAGGGGAGACCACCCGCGCACTACTAGTACCGAAATTGCAGCTACCGACAAAGGACAAGGAGACTACCTTTACAGCCCGCGGGAAGACGGACCGTACGAGGAGACC